TGGTGACTTTAATTGTGTATCTGACTCTGTACGTGACAGACATAATGCAGGTACTTATACCGATAATAAATCTTTTCCGATTTTATTACACGAAGTAATCACTCCTCTACAATTATATGAACTATACTGTTCTAAACATCCTCGTACTACAGTTTATTCTTTTCATGCATTAAAAAACGACTTTCATAGTAGGATAGATATGTTCTTTGGTACAAAATCTATAAGAAATATTACAGAGAACATCTCGTATGAACCAATTGGACTATCTGATCATGATAGTGTAAAAATTATACTTAATATGTCATCTCTCGTATCATATGGTAGATGGATATGTAATGTTAATGTACTTTCTAAACAAACATTTATGGATCGTTTTCATGAAATTTGGAAGGTTTTTCTTTCTACTGCTGATTTTAATTATACAACGTGGAACATCCACCTAAATGGATAATGCATACGTTTCCAAAAATGCGTAAAGACTGCCGATCTGGCATACAAACTAGAAGAACAATCTTTTAGTTCGCGCGCATCTGACTCGTCACTGCGGCTGTGAGTTTTGGCACGAGGCCTCTTTTTTTTCCAAATGTTTATTTTTAAAATAAATGAGTTGTGAAGTAGTATAATAAAAATATAAAACAAAATAAAATGGAGTGCAGTTATCTGGAACAGGTAAGGTTATGAATAGACGTTGCGTAGTACTTTAATTATTCTATTACAAATTAAAAACTTAAAAATAAAAGAGAACATTATATGATATAAAAGAAAAAACAGAAAATATGTGTTCAAATTGAACGTTAAAAGTAAAAACGGAGGTATTACAAATTAAAAATATAAGAGAACATTTTTGATGTATGATACATTTATAGAAATAAGAGGTTTTTAAATTGAACATTTAAAGTACAAAACGAAATTAAAATTGAGTTGAAGAGCACGTATGGCCCAAATATCTGAAAGAAGTAACATCTATAAATAATTCTGGATAGAAATGTCGAAATACAGTGACCATTTTGTAGATACGGAAATGGATAAGCGAATGAATTGCAAATTCAAAACTAAAACATAAAAAATAAACTTTGATAGATTCTAAAATAGACAAGCGCATTAGGCACACATATGAGTTGAAGATATAGTATAAAGAGAAATATAGCCTGACTAGTCTGTTCAAACGTGATTGTCAAAATACAATAGAGTGATGGATTTTGTTAACCAAGATAAAGGAGTAGAAATATCTTTAGTTATATGTTTAAAAATGACTGTATTTCTATAGGCCCACACGACCTGAATGTACACTCCAAAGAGTCGTGCCAAGTTCATCAGATGTGGTGGAGTTAAGCGTCCATCGATGTTTAGAAGATATATAATTGTTTGTTCATTACGCTGAACATTAATATCACCAACTGTAGCACAAACACAATTCAACAGAGAGACGAACACTGGTTCGAAGAAAGGACATTTAGTCCATAAATGAGTACGTGATTCCTCTTCCTTACAAAATACACATCTTTTATCAATCGGAGTCTTACCCCACAATGATCTTGTTATCAGACCATAATTAGCTGAACGATACCAAACATCGAAAACTCTTGTTGATAAATTAAGCTTAATTAAAAACTTATAAAAACGATGTGTCAATAACACAGGCATCTTTAGATAACTTATTGGTAATTGAAATGAGTTATCATAAATCAAATGCCAATATATACTCGGATCTCTACCGCGAACCGGAAGCGCCATTGGTTTACCGTTAGCTAACCATTTTCGTGTTGCTTCAGCTGATTCATGGAACAGAGTATCGCCAACATTATTATGAGGAATCAAATTAGACCATAAACTAGGATCATATATCCTTAATTTAAAAGCCATTGATTGTAATGCAAAAAACTTCCATTTAACACTAACACCGGATAGTAAACGAAGTCCAAAAGAAATACGGTAGGACTCTATCATCGTTTTAACATGTGGTAATGCTAGTCCACCACCAATTCGTTTACCAACTAATGTGTTGATATTTATGATTGGTCTTAGACTAGACCACAAAAATTTATTACAGATCTTTTGCAACTCGGTAATCCGGTTAGGACATATTGTTAGTGAAAATGTGTACACGGTTCTACTTAATACAAATACTTTTAAAACTGTACTACGTTCACATAACGACAAATTCACACTATACCACATGCCTATGTGCTGTTTGATTGATGTAACTAATTTTATTAGTTCATTTTCTGGTATACGACCATTATTATCTAATGGTACACCAAGAAATATACACGAATCTCTATTTATACGCGCTTGAAAATGTCGTGGATCAAGCCAATCGCTTATCCAAAATAATTCTGTTTTATCCACATTTATTTTCCCACCAGATGCACGATTATACAAGTGAAACATATGTAATGTTTCATGTTCATCTTGTATTTCAAAAGTATTATTATAAAGAGGTAATTTGAGAGATTCAGTGTCCACAGTCGCAATGAAGAACAAATGTGCATATCAGTTGGATTTCGTTTGACTGATGTTGTGCCAGAGCGACTCTACGAAAAGTGAAGATGAAATAAATG